GAAACTAGCTTTCGCGCTTGTTTTTAATCCTCAGCAAGACGTATCTGCACTCTTGAAGGAACTTATATCCCTTGTAAGATTCGAACCTGGGTCACCCAGTGTTGCAGTCACAGACGTTACTACTGAGCTCTCTAAGTTCTTCGCACATATACTACAGAACAACAGATTTAAGCGAACAATAGTTTTTTCAATTAGATCTCATCAGGCTTAACTCTAATGTATAACATATTAATACACTCAGTACTAGATCGAATCCCGTTGACTTCCATGTTAAAAACTGAACAGGATTAGTCAACTGTCTGTCTGTTTTCGACAAAGACCTTTGCATTGATATGCGGCAGTTCAAGTTTCCACACTCCAAGTAGCACACAAAGCAAGAGAAGAAAGTAGAAGAAATACATAATAGAGACAGTAAGCAGAAATGAGACAAAGGAATAGTAATAACGAAGGACAAAACAGTTTCATTGGAAATCATAAGTCACAAGAAGTGGATGTATCTACCCCAGCCATTGAGAACGATGAGTATGAGCCATGCCACCAATTGTTTCCAAACATTGGTTTTTACCATCCCGAGGACCCCAGCCTGGAAGTCTACACCTTCCTACGTGGCCAGCTTAAACTAACTGTTGTGGATTTCATTGACTGGTGAAGCTATGTTTTGGTTTGACCACCGCTAGCTTAATTCCAGCCTGACCCTACATCCACTAACATTGCTCGTCGAGGAAGGCGATGACTAGGCATACGTAACACATGTCCTAACCATCTCAGTCTTTGTAACTTCACGACTTCGTCGATTGATTTCCCCTGTTTACCTAGAACTCGACCGAGGCCTAACTTCAATATTGCTCACCTCATTATGCCACTTTACACGGGAAATAGAGAACAGGCACCTATGATCAAAGACAGGTAATCTTTTCATGTCTTCCATTCTCAATGGTCAGGTCTCACAGCCATAAGGGAGGAAGGAGCGGACTGATGAGCATCACACACGTCCTTTGGTCGATAGCCGGATATCACGTCTACGCCAGAGTCGGCGTAAACTGGCATGTGAGAAACTAGCCCTGTGTATCCGTGCTGAGATTTCGTCAGAGATCAACCCGTTGGCGTTGGCTGGTGGTACTTCCCAAATAATTGAAGCGGTCAACATGCTCTACCATTTCACTTCCTAATTCTAATCTAGGAGTCGATATAGTCCAGTCCTGTAACATCATCTTGCATTTGGCGGGAGCGAATCGCATGCCAAACATTCGCAGATTGCAGCTCAAGATGTTCAGAAGACTATGCATTTTGTCAGCGTCTTTACCTAGTAGAACTATATCGTCTGCATATTCCAAGTCAACGAGATTATTCCCTGGTAGCAAGTCAATCTCTAAGTCTCTGAAGTGAGTCAGGGTTGATGAGTCATCTACATATAATTTTCTACTTGCCATTTTCTCCCAGACGTGACTGAGTTACACACACTTGCAAGCATCTTCACGTGTTGTCTGTCCTAGAGTATAACTATAAGACTAACACGATTCTATGAAGTCTGGTGTGTGAGAAACTTTTTTCTCTTGATTAAATGAAAATCAGGACCGAAGAGACTAGCGACTAACTTACCTAAAAATTGTGATATAAATCTCCTTATGATTTTTCAATATTACAAACTTTGTTGCGTGATTTTCTTCTTTTTTTTGATTAACAATAACAAAACAGACGCGGACAAATATCCCCCACGTATCATCATCACTTTCTCATTTCAATAACTGTCTGAAATTAAATTAAAACGCTTACAATTTATGAGCCTATAATACAACAGTAGTAATGCACTTTTCTCACCCTATAAAATTTTGCCTGTCTAAACAAGTAAGTCAATCACGCAAGAATTACTGTCATTTCGATTCATCTTTCGTTTTTTTCTCTCAAAAACTTCACTCAGCGATGACGTGATGTTCTTATGAGTTGTGCATAAAAAGTGACCAGCTGATCGATATGAAATCCCCTATTATTATTATTATTATTATTATTATTATCGTTGTTGTTTTACAAGAAATAGCTATATAAAAGAAAGTCCGTTTTCGCCTTCTACAGATCAAGTTCTCAACTTTTAAATTACTTGCAATTTACACAGTTTGAGGAGGTGAAATGTTCATCATAGCTTCCATTTTACTGTGGTTTTGTTCTCTGAGCTAGCTGGATAGTTAATTTGCGAAGCTTTCATCGCCCACCCTACTAGGCGACATCTTCAGCGCATACTTCACTTGAAATTAAAGTATGCGCTGAAGATGTCGCCTAGTAGGGTGGGCGATGAAAGCTTCGCAAATTAACTATCCAGCTAGCTCAGATAACACAACCACATCCAAATCATCCACCTGAGTTAGAAATCTTCATCATATCTACAGTTTTCTTTAGAAGATGAAGTTATTAAGACCGCAATTTGTGGGATCTAATTGGTACTGTGTGCGTCAGTGGCACAGCGGTTAGGACGCTCCCTGACCATGCACATGGTCCGCGGTTTGATCCCCGGCCAACGAACTCCTTTACCTCAATAAGCTAGAAATAATACTGGTAAAGAGGAAAGGTTTGGCATGAGGCTAGCAACCTCGTCCTGTAAAATTAAACACTGCTATAGAAACTTCAAGCCACTAGCTTGAGGCCTTATGTTCCAATGTGAACGTGAAGGAAAAATAATTGGTAATATAAATGGTAACCAAAAAAAACATAACTGCATGAAGGTATATACTACTGATTGACTGAGATGAGTAGTTGCATACTACTCGCATCAAACAGTAGTGCTTTCTAGTTAGCCAGCCAAATCGATATGGTGTAAAGACCAGGCGGCCATTTCACTCGTTTCAGGTGGAGCTTATCAGCAGTGTACCTGGTGTGACTTAGCTTAGAGAGTATTTCTTTTAATTTTATTATTTTTGGTACAAGCATGAAATTTTCAGCGTGTGATATCGGTAGCTCAAATTTAGCAGTCCCACCGTTGATATCAGGTGTTTATCGGCCGGGGATGGAACCTCAGACCATGTGCATGGTCGCTGAGGGGTCCTAACCGCTCTGGTACCGACACAGTTTTAAAGCACACTTGATTCCTGTCTGTCTACTTGAGCGAACTAATAACACTTTGAATGAAATTCAATACAATAAACAACACGATTAGAAAAAAGGGAACTTCGGTGGAATTTCACCTTCTCAAAGTGTGTAAATTCCAAGTAATTTGCAAATGGTGAATTTCATTTAAGGTAATACTATTTCGCACAAGAAGTGCTAGCCGAAAATTCTTCACTTTTTGCTCAAATGTATTCATTGTTAATATTAAACGGTAGGAGGCGATCGGTAGGAAGCCTTGCCTGACCAAGGTTTCGTACTAGTAGGCACTCACCAGTCAGCAAGGGGTATCTGCAACCTTGAAGGAACCCATGTCCCTTTAGAGATTCGAACTCGTGTCATCCAGTGTTGCAGTCAGAGACGTTACTAGTGAGCTATTCGGGCTTGCAAGTGATCTCAAATAGGACTGTATCAAATACTTTGATAAGTAAAGCATAATTATATTTCAATAGTTTACACACAATGACCATAAAACAATTCCAACAGTGGTGTGAACACGGGCATTAATTTTGCTCGAAATATTACCAATAACAAAACTTATCATTGTGTGTAAACCATTAAAATATAATTATACTTTATTTGATCTAATCCACAATGCTCAAACTTTTTACTGATATTACTTTGATAAGGGTACTAGTTAGTGACTAGTGTAATGTGTTTAGTCCTTTAATTGGTGGATGGTGACTAGCAGTGGAATCCAGGATGCGCATTTCGTCCTTTTTGGAACTTGTCATCTGGATATACCTGCATTCCTCAGTGAGTGATAATGTTCCCATCGAGGGTCAAACCCAGTGCCCATAGTTTCAAAAGCCAAAGCGCTCTCCGCTAGACGTGAGACACAGCACTTCAATCCAATCAATCGATGGGAAAATCTAACATTGAATTAAATGTTTAGTCCTTCCATTCGCCTTCTGTCCCCACCATCTAATATCAACAATTCAAAGTGCACCCTAACAACGAGCTACTTAGTACGGTGGCCATAATACAAAATTGACTGATAGAATTCAGTCTGCAGGAAACAAAGGACTAGACACTTGGTTATTAACTAGTGGCTAACCAAAGTATGCAATACATATGCATTCATTACATTCCAATAATCACATAAATATGTTACATAAATGTAATTATCTATAGTTTGGTTTGTAAGGATTAGTTATATTTCTACGAGTTGATCACGGATTGATATCAGTTAGAGAACTATTGAAAACCAGGGAGTACTAGACAGCTGCTGTTTCATCCTAGTTTTCGGAATCAACACCAGTACGCAGACAGTGGGATTTAAACCCAGGACCTTCCGGTTAGAAGGCAAGCTGGCTCGTATACCATTCAGCCACTGGTACCCAATTCAATGGCTAATGAGTTCTAACTTCTACCAATTCGTGATTTAGCGCGATCCCAACCATTGTCATTGATGGGATATCCATCCACCCATGTGACATCTAATTGGACCTCACTGGCCCAAACTATAGAAAATTAATCTGATGCTCGCTAGCGCCTTGCTACTGGATAGAGTTTCCCGGAGTTCTAGTGAGAAGTCGTGACCAATGAGGTTAGAATCCATTCGCTGGCCATTGAATCGGGTCCCAGTGGCTGAAAGGGTATACAAGTTAGCTTGCCTTGTAACCGGAAGGTCCTGAGTTCGAATCTCACGGTGTGGGTGCATACTGACGATGATTTTCAAACTAGGATGAAACAGCAACTGTCTAGTACTCCAGTTCTGGTTTTCAATGATTCTCTAACTGATATCAATCCGTGATCAACTCGTATAAATGTAATTAATTAATTAATTAATTCTTAAGGCAGTTTAAAGTGTCCCTTGAATCCGTGTGCTTATTATGTCAACTTATGCGACAACAATTATAACCGCCAATCAAACATAATGTGTAAAGGAAAAGAGAAAGATTTTAATATAATAAGAATCACTTCTATTGTGTAGTACAAATAAAATCAACACGATCTTTAATCCAAAGAGGAAGAAAAAAGGTGTACATGATGATGAGGAGGAGGATGATGGGTATAAAAAAAGGACTTCATCATATTATAATAGATCCAGTTTATTTTTTCTTGTTGTTCTCCTCTGTTTCCTTATCAATCTTAATACACTCTTTATAGTTAGAACTTATATTGCATAACATCCATGTGTCTGTGTGGATGTGTGTGTGTACGCATATAAGATAAATGAAACAGAGCAGTTAACAGCAGTGTTTTTGTTCATGCAAAACTCTCTCTCTCTCTCTCTCTCTCTATATATATATATATATATATATATATATGTCTTAATAAAATTCAAAGAAAAAAAGCAGCTTTGTAGCTTCATTAATGCCCAACACACACACAGCATGGCTCAAAACTGTCAACATCACACATAATAGCCAATAGAACAATATGTGCTAATGTATGCGTGTATGTATGTGTGTGTGTGGATCATTTCTGAGATCAAACACATTTCAGATCTCATACTAACCACCAATAAATTTTAAAGAAAAAAGAAACAAATCAGAGGATTAAATTAAACAGGTACACAAGTGAGGAGGGGAGATACACAACAACAACAACAACCAACTGGCATAAAATGCAAAAAAAAACAAAAAAGAAAACAAAAGAGGGAAAGAGATTTAAACTTTAAAAAATGCAACATACGCCGCAGACACACACACACTGTCCAAAGGGCAGCAGTCGGCATTATACAAACAAAGACTTCACAGAGATAAAGAGAGAAAGACAGCCACGAGAGGAGATTGAATTCATTATGCTTTACACTCTTTTGCGTCCTCTTCTTCTTTTTCTTCTCAAGGATATCCACAAGTGTTTTTACACATACACATAAACATTACTACTGGAGTAGTAGTAGTAGTAATAATAATAATAACAATAATGGTAATATTGCACATAAGGAAAGCGGAAAAATTGAAAACAGGAGAAAAGCAATCTTAGTGTGTGTGTGTGTGTGTTTGTGTCTGCACGTGTGTGTATGTAGGAAAGAGTCGGTAATTTACACAAAGTACTTTGATCACTGTCAGTTATCAATATATCAATACAGCTATACAAGATTGCACAAAAAAGAGGAGTAATTATACTACTTTACTTAAAAATTATAATCATCATTGATATTCAGGTTTGGTTTTGGATTTAATAAAAAAAAAGTAAGAAAGAAACCAAAACACGAACACCACAAAAAAAACACAGGAAGGATAGGAAAAGAAACAAACACATACCAAGCGGAGAAATTAAGGGGAAGGAAGATCGACAACAGTGAATCAGATACCTAGTTACCAGAATCTCTTTGCGTGTGTCTGTGTGTATTTGTGTGTGCATATACACGCCTACGTTCGTCGTCCACCGTGTGTGTATGCAGCGCGTAAGACTGACTTGCACAAAATGTATCAATCAATTAATTATGGGGTTAGTTAGTTAGCTAGTCAGTTAGTTAGTTAGTCCAGTGTAAATATACAAACAAAAGTAATCCATTCAACAACTATGTCATTCAATGTTGCTGTTCATTTTTTCTTCTTAAGCGTAGAATTCACGTGTTGGCGCTCTTGTATACGTATTGACTGTAGGCAATTTTTTCGGTTCATCTAAAGCATATGAGCCTTCATCTTTTTTACGCAGACGATAAATACAGAATAGAATTAGGAGTATTAACAGTAGCAGGACGACAACAACACCCCCAACAATACCTACACATATATATATATGTATATCAAAGAGAGAGAGAAAAGAGAAGAAAACAACAGGGAAAAAAGATGATAAACACAATTACAACGTAGCATACTATGATTAGAATTAAACGTTTCACTGAACACAGTGTTAATACGAAAAAGGAATTATAAATGTCTATACGTTACGCTTCATTTAAAAACTTTAGTCTGGTTAATGAGGTTATTTTTCACATAGAAAATTTGTGGTATATTAGCAGCAGTAGTAGGGATGTCTCATACTATCCACAGTGGTTAGACTGCGTATGTAGGACAACGTGAAACATGTATTCCGAGAATTAATAATTCAATAAGGCATAGAATTCAAGTGTTTATTTGTAGGGATTTGATTGGTTTACAGGATTTCATCATGAGCTGACATTAGTTAGAGAACCATTGGAAAACCATTGCAGCAGGTCGGGTGTGAGGACAAATACTCGCCAAAGACGTTGGCTAGGGGTCACGCTATGTCGTGAATTGACAGAACTTAGAACTAATGGGCCATTGGCTTAATGACATACGAGCTCGCCTTGTAACCAGAACGTCCTGGGTTCGAATCCCGGTGGGTGCGTACTGATGAAGAGCCCCAAACTAGGACGAAATAGCTATCCAATACCTACTACAGGTTTTTCCAATGGTTCTCTAACTAATGTCAGCTCATGATGAAATCCTGTAACCAAAGCATAGAATTCTTTTCACAGTACGAGATTTGTATAATGTTCACGTCGATTAATTGTTAGAAAGATAACAAAAAGACAATCGATCCAATTTTTAAGGCTATCCTGACATTTTATTCATCTGAAGACTTGAATACCAATTAATTATATTAGTTCATAGCTGTTGATTTGTAGGGATTTGATTGTTTTCGAGTTGAATCACGAGCTAGCATTAGTTGAAGAACTACTAAGAATCCGGGTGTACTGAACAGTTGTTCCAGTGAGAAATCATAACAGGTGGAATTCAGTCAAATCGGGTTTGAGGACGAATATTCATCGATGGCACGTGAATACGCGGAAGTTAAAATCCATGAGTCATTGGGTTGTAGACAAGTAGCTGAATGGTTAACAAGCTCGTCTGGTAACCTGGAAACCCTGAGATTTCAATTCCTCGTCGGAGTTCATAGACGCACACTTCTGAAGAGTCCCAGTCTAAGACGAAACAATTGTCCAGTAGTCTGTCGTTTCCAATGGCTCTGTAACTGATATCAGTTTGTGAACTAACTTTTAATTTTATTAGTGTTGAAGAGTAATGATTGATAAGATGATAGGAGTACACCATGCAACTTAACATCTGCAGTTTTGAAGTAAAGAAACTAATGGATAGATGCGTACAGAAGGAAACTATCATGTGACAACCTCATTTTACAATCACATCAAATTATATTAGAAAGACAGCTTTTATGTTTAGGGGTTTTTAAATGACTAAAAGTTTTCCAGTAGATATTAGCACGCAACAGCTATCTTACAACCCACTGATCACTTGCCATAGTATAGATTAACGGTCTTTCAAATGCTTAAAAGCAATAACTATTAACCATGGTCTTATAATCTCCCTCCTACTCGTTCACCTGTATTTTTAGTAATTAATTCCCCATTACCACACTTACATGTTTCTTTCGCACATTATTATTATTTTTTCTTTATTTTCTTCCTTTCAGTTCCATGTGGAACATAGTGCTTCAAGTTTTCAGGTTTGAAGTATCAGTAGCAGCGGTGTTATTTTTTAACCACTAAAGGGGGTGGGCAGGAGAAGGGTTGCCAGTCTCAAATCCAACCTTTCCTCTTTACCAGACACACCACTAGCTAATTTAGGTTTAGGAGTGAGTTGGCCGGTGACCGAAACCCATACCACGTACAAGATTCTCCTGATGAAAACACTTTTCTCTTACTCTCTTCACACTTATCAAGTGGATAATATTCAACTATTTTGATTCTATAAAAAACAAAATAATTGAGCAAAGAATATCCTTTTCGATAAACTCCTCTTCTGGCTCTACAATTATATATATATATATATATAAATGTTTATATACACAGAATATTCTATAATAGTCGCCATTAACAATATTAGTGTTTTTTAAATAATATCGATTTATAAAGTAAGATAGCAAAGGAATTATAGTTCATTAAAGATACTTAGCGTCGGTGGCATAGCGGTTTGGACGCTCGCCGACCGCGCACATGGCCCGGGGTTCGATCCCCGGCCACAGACGAACTCCTTCACCTCGCTAAGCCAGAAATAATGCTGGTAAAGAGGAAAGGTTGGGCATGAGGCTATCAACCCCATCCTGCAAAATAAACACTGCCACAGAAACTTCAAGCCACTAGCTTGAGGCCCTATGTTTCACTGGGGAACGTGAAGGAAGAAAAAAGATACTTAAATTATAATAGTAATAATTAAAATATGATAACATAGAATATCAACTAAAATTAAGGAAATTTCTACAAAAATTGAGGATCATTCGAACCTACTAGTTTGTTTATTAGATGTATCACACAGTGAAACAGTATTAGTGTTTACTGGGTGACAGGGTTTCGAACACAATTTATTACTGTTTATTATCATCTCATCATTTATGACCACACGACTTCGAATCTTGAGTTTTATAGTTCTCTTTGTTCCCTCCTATTTGTCGCCAGTGGGGTAGTAGAATTTTCCACATGTCCAACTGGACTGGTGTTGAATCATTCCTATTACACGTATTCCCTGTCAGTTGATTCGATAAACAAAGCTTCTGTTATCAATCTCTCCCTCCACCCAGCTGAGACATTGGATTTTAAATCTGTTATCTTATCGCATCCATCCTATTGTTTGGTTGTGTGTAATTGCATGTAGTGAGTGGTATAGCTGAACTATTCTCTAGATTTCTTATCTTATTCGGGTCAACTAATCTAGATTCATTGTAGTATTTCCATACACGGAAGAAACATCGAAAAGTTTACGCAGAATTCTTAACACGGCAGGAATAAAAGTGCCAGGCATCCAAACCCACAAACTCACTTAGAAACGAGCCCTGTTGGTTAGAAGATCCTGTGAAGCTTTTAAAACAAAACATTTTAGTTTATTTAATACCCTGTCTGCAATGATTGTCAGGTCAAACACATCGATCAAACTAGTAGAACAGGGGCAGTCAGACCAACCAAACATAAAAGACCAGCAAAATCTAGGTTGGTTGACCCGAATAAGATAAGAAATCTAGAGAATAGTTCAGCTATACCACTCACTACATGCAATTACACACAACCATACAATAGGATGGATGCGATAAGATGACAGATTTAAAATCTAATGTCTCAGCTGGGTGGAGGGAGAGATTGATAACAGAAGCTTTGTTTATCGAATCAACTGACAGGGAATACGCGTAATAGGAATGATTCAACACCTGTGCAGCCAGACGTCTGGAAATTTCTACTACCCCTACAACAACAAACAGGAGAGAACAAAGAAAACTATAAAATTCAAGTTTCAAAGTCGTGTGATTATGATTGATATGATTATGAAACACGACTAATTGTGTTTGAAACTGTCATCCAATAAATAGTACTGTTTCACTGTGTGATACATCTAATAACCAAACTAATATGGAATTACTTTCTACCACAGTGCCCAAGTTTTACACATATATTAATATGATCATTCGAACCTAGATGGCCAAGGTAAGGATAATGTCTGAACTAGCTTCTTTTGGACACATCAATAAGGCTTCGTAATGTGGATCCCAACAGCCAGCCTCAGTAATATTTAGTTAACGAACTGTTAAGACGAAGTTAAGATTTGGTGGTGTGCGGTAAATGACTTTGAAAGCTTCGTTGATATCAACCGTGTGTTGCGTATGCACAAGATGAGGTAGAATAGCGCTACGAATAGATTTTGTTTGTCCTTTACTTAACCACAATGGGTGGTATTCGGAAATCCAACGAGAACTGAATAACAGTCTTATTGTAATCAACTTTCTGTAATAGTCATATGTCTGTTTTTGGTACAACAGTATGTACTTCTGTTTCAAATGACATTTCCCTTCATTTGCTTTATTCAAAAATCAATGTAAGTGATTTAAATATCTGGAAAAATTCAAAAAGCGTGGTTTTTTAGTACTGATCATGTTTTCTTACTGTATGTGAAATAAAAAAGAACATGGATAAATATTGCTTTTGTTGTGAAGATAATAAATTATACAATCGCAATTATATATATATATATCTGGATTCAGGAAAGGCAAATCATGTTCTGACCAAATTGAAACTCTACGCATCATCATCACAGAACAAAGCATGAAATGGCAATCAAACCTCTACCTCAACTTTATAGACTTCGAGAAGGCCTACGACAGCGTTGAGCGCGAAGTTATTTGAAACTACTCCAGTACTACGGCGTACCCCAAATATTCATCAAAATTATTCAACAGCTGCTGTACGACAACGGCACATGTCAAGTGATCCACAACTGAAAACTCAGCGAGGCGTCTGGAGTAAACACAGGAGTCGGACAGGGTGCTTACTATCACCAATGATATTCCTAATTGTGGTGGACTGGATTATGCGTCAGACAGTGAGTGGAAAACGAGAAGACAGGGATATCCTGGACCGACGTGAACAACCTAGAAGACCTGGATTTCGCGTGTGGCTGATTTACCTTTGATGTCACACAAAATCGAAGACTTACGAGTGAAAACCGACAAACTGGTCGAAGAATCAGCCGGCGAAGACAGGACACCAGGTGAACATAGACAAGACGGAGGTGACGAAAATAGCCAACCAACCAACAACAACAGCAACATCCAGCACCAATCACCATCAAAGGGAGGGATTTGAAAGACGTTACTTCTAGGGAGCATTGTCTCAACTACATGCAGTCGGAACGGACGAGGATGTCAAATCGAGCGAGAATCGGGAAGGCGAGAAACATATTCATCAACCTGAAACCAATCTGGAAATCTTCGTCACTCAGCCAGCATCAACAACTAAATTCGGGCGGATTCTCAAAACAAACATCAAGTCAGTTCTTCTATACGGATCAGAAACTTGGCGGGTTGGTCACAAAGAATATTTCCAACAGCCTGTTGCAGACCTTTACCAGCCAACAACTGTCTTCGCTCTATATTGAAGATCAGATAGCCGGGCCGGAAAGAATCACCAACAAGAAACTATGGCTGAGAACAAAAAAAACAAGAACAAACCAATCGCCAACCAACAAATATGCAGGAGAAAGTGAAGATTCACTGGATACTGGCTGAGGAGGCCGCTGGGTGACATCGCGCGCGCGTCAGGCCATTGCTCGATTGGAACCAGGCCGAAAGGGAAGCGGTGAGTGGGACGTGTCCAAGGGTTGGTGACATGGAGGAGATCGTGTGAAGAGGAGTTGAAACAGTATGAACTGACATGGATGCAGGTGAAAAGTACAGCGGAAGGAAGCCAGAGGCAAGTGGAGATGTGCAGTTGAAGCCTTGTGTTCCCCTAGGAACCCATTGGAACAATAATAAATATTAATAATATATTTACCTTGAAAGTGAAATCGCTGAAAAAGGAACTCTGAACCAAAGCCTCCCATTTTAATGCCATAGATATAGTCCAACATCAGTAGAAATTTTCGAAACCTCTTTATTAACAGTACAATAACTGTGTTGAAAAGAAAGATGTAATACAGAATGCAAACGGTGTGAATTACTACCTATGATCCATCTGTCTGAACAAGCGTCTGGTGATATTTGCTGACGATAAAAAAAGAACAGCAGCATAATAAAAATTAATTCAAGTATTGTTTTTGTAGGGATTTAGTTTGATTGGATGGAGGATTTCATCATGAGCTGACATCAGTTAGAGAACCATTGGAAAACCTGCACGGAGTACTGGACGGCTGTTCCGTCCTAGTCATGAATTGTCAGAAGTTAGGATCCATGGACTGACCATTGGATAGGGTCCCAGTGGTTACTGAATCGTCTACGAACTCGCCTGGTAATCAGAAGGTTCTGGGTTCGAAACCCGGTGGGCGGGTGCGTACTTATGGACAGTCCCAAGCTAGGACAAAACAACTGTCCAGTACTCCTTGGTTTTTTAATGGTTCTCTAAATGATGTCAGCTCACGATGAAATCGTCCATCCAATCAAAAATTAATTCAGTCTGAAGATTTTCCGCACTCGACATAAACAACAGATTCTCGATTTTCAACACCAGTGTTAAGTGTGAGACAGTTTTTCTGCATGGTTCACAAATTGACTTATTCCTCACGGAAGGCATTTTCAACAGACTACACACATTTAGCAACAGCTGCCTTCGCTGGCTTCCTCCTGAGGATTAGATGACCAACCAGTCAGAATTCTCAACAAGAAACTCCTGAAAAATAAACCAACCAAGAAGCTATTATTCAACAGATATGCAGGAGGAAATGGAGGTGGATCTGACACAAGCTGAAGGGACCGGCGAGTGACATCACGCGCAATGCAGGTCATCTCGCTGGGGTGAAATGCGAATGAGAAACAACAAGTTGGGCATAAGTACAAGGGTACCTAGAGGAGATCAATGTGAGGAGGAGAATTAGGCTTATGGGAAATCGTGAAACCAGTTAAAGATGACTGAAGAGAACAGGGGATATGCTGTTGAAACCCTATGTTTCACTCAAAACTTAAAGGAACAATAGTATAATAATAATAATAACAATAATGATTAAAAATTGGTGACTAAAATTATTAAATATCTAGATTACTAATTACTCACCAGCTATGACACCTGGTTGACTTAGAATTTGAGAAGTTGATGTACCTGTAGCCCATGGTTGATGTGGTGATCTACTTTGTATTGATGTCTGACGCCCGGGTGATGATCCACTACCTCTCATAATATTAGGATCAAAAGATCCAACTAGATGTGCTGCATTCTCGGATGATTTACTATTCAAAGATTTTAAACTAGAAGGTTCATGTGGATTGATGTAGGAAGCATCAGGTATCTCTGTTAAATAAAACAACAACAAAACAAAAAAATACGGAAATGTTACTCAAAATACAGACATGAAAATAAGCTAATTAAAGACCTTTTTGAAGTAACTAAGTGAATACACAATCTGTTACGGTTATATACTTAGCAGCAATATTGAAGAAACAAGTAGTCCACTCAGTGTTGTACAATTCTAACATGACCTTCCACCAGAACATCAGACAACTTCGTTCTGTAGTCAGTCACTCATCACCAACAGGTTAATTTTCATGTGTTGGTTTTGCAGGGTCCACCAAGTCAAGTATAAGGACAAATACTCACCGACGATACTGGTCGAGGTTCGCATCAGTAGCAGTCAGCATTGATGACCAAAGTGGTCAACTCACCGACCACGTAAACTAAAGGTACTGAGTTCACTCCTGAGTGGAGTGAAGAGTTCCAAACTAAGACGGGCTAGCCTTCCACAATACTCCCCTGGTTTTCAGTAACTCTCTAGATGAGGCAGTTGGTGACCAAGCTTAAAATCAACCAAATACTTCAACACCAACAACTGAAAAGAGACAAGATATTCAGACGATCACACTTACACATATGGACATTTACATCCAAACACTCATCGAAATTTGATGATATTAGAGAGTCGGAGGCAATCTAATCATTCGCTTTACTGGATAGAACTGTTTATATCTCAGAATGCCAGCTATCCTGAGGGAAACTTTGGAGGGAACCAGCGACTAGGTGGTTCGACTAGTCTTTCCCCCTATACTCACGTTATACGATCGATTTGCACGTCAGAATTGCTACGGTCCTCCACCAGAGTTTCCTCTGGCTTCAACCTTCGCAAGTATGGTTCACCATCTTTCGGGTCTCAACATGTACGCTCTTGCTCCGCCCCAACGGTGCACATAGCACAAGGCCATATGTCTACGTCATGGGACGGGCCGGTGATGCGCCTGCTGCTCGCAGCTTGGAATTAATGAGAAAAACAACAGGATCTCACCTCAGCCTGAACAAGCCAAACCTTTACCTTCACTGCGCCTTCGGGTTTCGTAAAGCCCAATGACTCGCGCACATGTTAAACTCCTTGGTCCGTGTTCCAAGACGGGCCAGATGGATAGTCTAACACAAAACCACAGACTATTGGCCCAAACTAAAACACACACACCACTGCCAACTGAACATGATCAAGCCATCAACTGACCAGCCGAAACTAGCAACAAGTCGACCAGACTCAACCACGCCTGAAAGACAGAGCGCATATGCAAAGCCGCCGTCTCCGACACACCGTACAGATCCACTATAGCTGGCTAGTAACACTCACAGAATGGACCAGGTCACCTGCCAAACCAACCAAGCTCAACGTTAATCAGACCTGATCAGTTTGACTACAGCAGACAGACAACAGTGCCGGTCGTGGTGAACACACTGAGAAAGTGCACCGACAAACAGACTCATACACCCTCCAATGCGTGCAGCACATGATGAGCGCACCACACATACCCATCAGAGGCAGGTACCCGCAGTTAAGCAGACACTGAAAGGCGGTCAATATGCCCATGAATCTCGGAAGAAATATGAGTTCCTTGCTGACAAGTGAGTGCCAATAAGCACGAAACCTAGGTCGAAGGCTTCCTGTGGCCGATTGCTTCTAACCATCTAATATCATCAAATCAATGTACACCGTGATGGCAAGCTAGCTAGAATAATCGCCACATTGCAAACCTGACTGATAGAATTCAGTCTGCACCAAAGAAAGGACTAGACACGTTACACTAGTTACTAGTGTTCAATCAAAATAATTATCGAAATTTCAGAGTTAGCCATATATTCCAAATAAAGGATGTACACTAATGAATATCCAATGAGATGTACATACATGCATGTATGTACTAATTAAAACTAAAATATCAAATTCTTAAGTGCTTTCATCAGCATAGAGATGGTGAGTACTCACATGACTGTTAGGTGAATTCACGCAAATAGCCATTTTCTTACTTTATTAGTTATCTGAAAGGCGGATCAAAATTAATGGTTATTCGTTTCTTTTCTTTTTTTTCTGCTTGATTTCTATTGATAAAATCTGTCTCTCAACCACGGGTGAAATGGAAACACTGAATTCAGCTATATACATACATATAAACCACGCAATATGGTGTCACGAGGATTAAATACTGAAACAAAGCAAAACAGTGAAATTTTTTGTGGTAGGAAGCTAAAAATAGTTAAGCCAAACGGATTTATATCAAATTCGGCTTTATCTTTACGGGAAGAATTTTAAAATCGATTGATTTCCATGGGATGTTATTTTCTGGATGGTGACAAGCATGGGAATCATGGATGTATCAGTGATCCTGAGTGGTTGATGGTTTTCCCCGCTGAGAGACACAAACTCAGCCCCCCATGGTTTCAAAGGCAGAAGCCTTATCCATTAGGCCCTTGAGAACCACCCTTTGTGCAACAGACATTAGTTATAATGTGTTTAAGTTAATTTTAATATAGCTAAAATATTCATCCAAACATCTATAAAAAACAAAATAATTGAGCAAAGAATATCCTTTTCGATAATTTCCACTTCTGGCTCTACAATTGTATATGTATATGCTTATATACATAGGGTAATAATAATAATAAAAATAATCTACATTATTCCAAAAACAGTACTTATAATACAGTATTTGTCACAATATTGCATCTGATTTACTTAAAATATAAATAAAATTAAAAATTAAAACAAAATTAACCAGAGGATTTTGTCCACATTTACGACATAAAGTCAAAAATATTCGAAGTACGAAATGAGAATATTAAATATAATAATAATGATAATAATTATTAATAACAATAGTAGGTTTGTTTCAAACAGTATTGTCGATTCAATTTGGAAATTTTAGCATGTTATAGATTATTGAATCTAATGTTCTGTTGGTATAGTATAGTGAGGGGAAATACAAAATTAACAGTTATAACACAGCTTAAACGATATTCACACTTATGAAAAAAATAATAAAAACAAAAACTTGAGAGGATTATAAATATAAGAAGTACAATAACAATGAAGGTTGATGTTGTAAGGGTGGAAGAGGAAATGGTTTATTTAGTAGTGCAAAGAAGGTTGATTAGTGTTCATGCCTAACACTATTTTCATCACATAAAATACGTGACAAATATGGTATAGTTGAATTTTTATACTTAGACGTACATACATAAAGTCTTCTGAAAAGACTTCTTGTTTTACCTGAGGAGGAGGCACAAGGTTGGAGCTGCGGGTAAAGTGGATGCTCATAGTCTGACAAAATTCCTTTAGCAAATTTGTAGCATGAAATCAAGTGCCTGTCAATGACAATGTCAACGATATGGCCCAATGGGATACCACTCACCCGACTGACTGACAGTTTTCAGAGTTCTACGAAATATGATATAGTTTTTTTTAACCAATCCAGGAAAGAATATGTAAGGGTGAACAGTGAAGAAGAATAGGTAAAATACACGAGTTGAAAAACTGTAAGAGGAGGCGTTGGTTGAGTTATGCCTGAGTGCCTTAACTTCCTAATGTAAAAAGTCAGACAGAATGTCCTCTTAGAAATCGCTAAGACATGGGAAGACTAGGATAGGTCAGAAGAAAGAACTAATCCAAGATACTTAACTTCAGACCTGGTTTCTATATCGGTATCATTTAACTTTCTTTTACATCGCAAAACTGAAATTAACAGTCTGACATTTGGAAGGATTCTAGATTAGTATTCAATAACAGTATTAGTGTTTTTTTAAATAATATCGATTTGTAAAGTAAGATCGCAATGGAATTACAGTTCATTAAAGATGCTTAAATTATAATAATAATAATAATAATAATAATAATAATAATAATAAAGATATAGTATCAAATAGAATATCAACTAAAATTAGGAAAATTCCACAAAAATTCAGGATTTTTCAAGCCTAGATGGCCAAGGTAAGGATAATGTCTTAACCGACTTCTTTTGAACGCAAAAATTAGGCTACTAATCTAGAATATTCTATGTATATAAACATGCATATATAATTGTAGAGCCAGAAGAGGAATTTATCGAAAAGGATATTCTTTGCTCAATTATTTTGTCGACCGATCATGTTAATCACCACACATCGTCGAAGTTCCCATACTAGGAGCCGACAGTGTGAACAAACAATGAACAATTCGATCCAATATAATGAAGTAACGGAAAATAAAAAATTAAATTAAACGAATGATTAACATGAGTATAATTTAGATCCAGTCAACATCATCTTTGAAGTTTCGGTGAGTAACAATAATAATACTTACTATTATTATTATTATCGACAATACCACGTACCAAGCGATCCACAACGGAGAATTCAGTGAAACCTTTGAGGTGAATACAAGAGTAAGCTAAAGCTCCCTGCTGTAACCGATGATATTTCTGATTGTGGTGGCCTGGATCATGTGACATACCGTACTTGGATGTGCGAGAAGATAGGAATATGTTCGACCAATAAGAAGACTCCAGAAGATATGGACTTCACTCACGATTTATGTTTAATGTCACACGAACTCGAAGACTTACAGACGAAAGCCAGCAGAATGGAAGAAGAAGCAGCTAACGAATACAGAACCTCAAGTGAACATAGAAAAGGAAAGGGGTGATGAAGACAGCAAGCCAACAAACACAACAACAACAGGCACCAATCACTATCAACGGAAGAGATTTGGAGAGGTTGCCTCTTTCACATATCTAGGCATTATCGTTTCAACTACAGGTAGTCGGGAAGGGTGAAGATGCCAAAAATCAGTCAGAAATGTGAAAGACAAGACGGATGTTCATCACTCTGACATCAGTTTGGAAATCTTCTGCATTCAGTATATACAATTCAGTGTTAAGTGAGACAGTCCTTCTATATGAGTCAGAAACTTAGCGGATGACTCACGAAAAGTATTTTCCAACAGCTGTGTTCGCTGGCTCCGTACTGAAAATCAGATGGCAGACGAGGCAAAACTAGACATCGCATACCAGGCTATCGCTCGAGTGTAACCCGAGTGTGAAACGACGATTTGGGCGTGGGTCCGAGGGTGACTGTGTGAGGAGGAGATGAAAGCTTATGGACAATCTTGGAGCCAACTAAAGACGACTGCAGAAAAGAAGATGAAAGGAAGATGTGGTGTTGAAGCTATGTATTCCGCTCAGAACATAAATCAATAATAATAATGATAATACTTTTGCACGTAAACTCCAATCAAGGTAGACAGTTTGACTACAAAGATTTTAGTTTCATTCAAGACAACATCATCAACATTTCCACCTGAAGTCCACTGCGAAAATAATTAAAATTGTATCCGATTTACAACCACTCACGTTGTTTAGGGTAAAAGACAACTGCGTCACAGATGCTCAATCGTAAAAGAAATAAATGAAATCAAATAAGCCTGAAAACAGCCATACACACACACACGCACACTTGGCATTTACCTGGACTTCGAACTGCAACCATTTTATGTCCAGTAGGCTGAGGCTGATCTTCAGTCTGAGGCATTTCACTTTTAGTCGAATGAATAAATGTCTATATGTAACAGTAGAGGAAAAAATAAACAAAATTAAATTGTATTATTATTGGAATAAACATAACAGAATCATGTGAAAATTTCAACAGTTTACTTCACTAATGATGGGAGTTGAAGAAGTAGAAAAAATTTACATTTTAATTTGGATCACAAACTGCCTTCACAGTTAGACAACCATCAGAAAACCAGTCTGTCCTGAACACAGCTATCTCATCCTCGCTTAAAATTATTCAGCAGTACGCATTTATCACCCCACCAGGGATGGAACTCAGGACCTTAAGGTTATTAGGCGACCTCGCATACCACTCAGCCATTGGGATGGGATCCAAAGACCCATCAATTCTTTATTTGTTTTATTTATTGTTCCCTTGGGTTTCTAGTGGAACATAGGGCTTCAACTGCATGTCTCCACTTGCTTCTGTCTTCCTTCTGCTGTACTTTTCACCTGCATCCATGTTGGTCCATACCGTTTCAACTCCTCTTCACACGATCTCCTCCATGTCATCCTTGGACGTCCACTCGCCGCTTCCCTTTCGGCCTGGTTCCAATCGAGCAATGGCCTGACGCGCGCGCGATGTCACCCAGCGGCCTCCTCAGCCAGTGTCCAATCCATCTCCATCCACTTTCTCCTGCATATTTGTTGGTTGGCAATTGTTTCTTGATTTGTTTGTTCTCATACTTTCTTGTTGGTGGTGATTCTTTCCGGCCCGGCCATCTGATCTTCAGTATAGATCCATCGAAGACAGTTGTTGATAAAGGTAACGTCTGCAACAGACTGTTGGAAATATTCTTTGTGACCCACCCGCCAAGTTTATGATCAATTCTAACTTTCGTCAATTCGCGACATACAGTGTCACCGGTGAGTATCTGTCACTAACCAGTAACTGATACAGGATGAAGTAGCTCGAAATCCTAGTTGGCAACCGTGGCTAGCAGGATACACGAAATTCGGAGGTTAGGTGAGGAGGAATACTCAAAGGTGGCATCGACTGGAGGCCGCGCCACACATCGTGAATTGGCAGAAGTTAGAAATGAATGATGAGCCAGTGAGACGGAGTCCAGTGTGACTGTTGAATAGTCAGCGACCTCGCTCACCTTGTGATCTGGAGGTCTTAAGTCCAATGATCTATATGATAAGGTCAAACTAATACACTTTAATTTTTGGGAGGAAAATAGTTTTTTCTACCAACTTATGTTACAATGTTATTTTCCCTGAAAAATAAAAAACTGGATGAATTTTAGCTGACTAAGTACAAAATGTACTTGTTCTTTTGGATTTAAACTCCTAGGAAAAAATATATTGATGCCTATGCGTAGAAACAGATAAACAACCACATGCACACATACATACACACACTAACATGAACATTACTAGAAGAAAAGAAAAAACGGAACAAGTACTAGCTGACAGTTTGTCTGACAAGGAACTAGGCAAATATGTACGATGGAGAAGAAAAGGAATGACGTAAACTTATTTATTGGTTGTTGTTTTTTTTGTTTAAACTGGATATGTCAATAAAAGCAAAATGTCTTTTGAGATTCTGGGCAATGAGATAGATACGTATAGATAGGTAATCTCATTTGTTACTAGAAAATGGAGTTACGAAGATTTATTTGCCAAGTATAAAAAAACAAAAGAAGTTGATTACTAATATTTCTGTGTACTTCTATATTGAATATGGTTACTATGGTTACATCTGTGTATGTGTCTGTGGCAAGTTCGGTTGAAATGTCTTTTCAATGATTCCATTGCTTTTAAACGCATTATTGTAGTATTCTTTTTTACTTATTTTATTTTGTTTACAGCTTGATTCCACACTGTATTTTTGGTACATGTATGGAATTTTCAGCATGGATATCGGTAGCCCAAATTTTGCTAGCCGACCATAGATATCAGGTGTGCGTCGGCAGGGGATTGAACCTCGGACCATGTGCATGGTCGGCGAGAATCCTAACCACTGTGCCACCAACGCACTTATTATTATTTCTTTTGAAAATATGATCAAGGATAAAAACGAACGAGAATCAGTCACGATTTTCTTGAGAGAGAAATGTGAGAAAATTCAACATCTTGAATAAGGGAGGTTAGTATTCATCAGAGGACAAGTGAACGAAAGAAAAACCCCCAACGAATCTGATTATAGGACTTTGTAATATCTCAACCTAAATTCCAATCGATATGTGATAAAGGCAAGCGAAGAAATACAGAAAAAAAGTGATATGACCGATTATATATAAATAAGCCAAGCGGAACTCGATAAAGTAGTTGAAGATGTATTGCATTTTACATAAAATGTAGGTTTCTACAAGTATATTGACGAAGGATTTCGTAGAAAGATAAAAATATGATTGTTCATTCTTTAGGCTTCGAGGGAAACATCTCCATTTTACAATGTTCTATTCAATCCCTTTTATCTGGCGCTATAATTCCCCAAAGGTTTCATCTAACAAATTGAGCAATAGCATTAAGTAATACAACAAAATAAAACTTAAATGATGAAATGAAACACATAAAAGAGGCGTTGGTATTAAATATGTATCCTATAAAACTCATTAAGAAGATCAAAAAAGATCAAAAGCAAAATGAAAATAGTAATAAAACTAATAATAATAAAATAAATAAGAAAGAATATAAGGCATCTACAGTAGTTTTACCATATAAAGAGGGGACATCAGAGACCCTCCCTGCGTAGGATTCTCAATAAAGCAGGAATTAGGGTGACATTCAAACCTTCAAACTCACTCAAAGATGAGCTATGTAGGTTGAAGGACCCAGTGAACCCAGCTAAAAAAAATAATATAATATAATTTACAAAACACCTTGCAATGACTCTGAGTTAAGTCAACTACGTAGGTCAAACTAGTAGATCAGGAGTAGTGAGATTATTAAAAGATAAGAATTTAGCTAAGGTTAGAATGATTCACCCCATGAAGAGAAGTAATTTAGAAATAAACTCAACAACGGCACTGCATGCATTAACAACACACAACCACACAATAGAGTGGGACAAAGCCAAAATTCTAAAGAGTATTATAGGTAAGTGGAGAAAGTGATCGATTACTGAATCCTGGTTCATATAGTCTACACCCAACACATGCAATAGAAGTGACTCAACGCAAATACTAGATATATGGGAGGTATTATTACCAGTCAAATTGGAGGATAATAAATAATGTTAAAATGTATTCAATTCACATTGTAACATTATAACAAGTTATTTATTTATTTTGCTATAAAAACGTCTTATTTGTCATCTTATTGTATTTTATCGATAATACTTATACTATTTCTGAATTTTTTTTCTTTCATGTTCTTCAGTGGAACATAGGGCTTCAAACTAGTGGCTTGAAATTTCTGTAGCAGTGTTTATTTTGCAGGATGGGGTTGCTAACCTCATGCCCAAACTTTCCTCTTTACCAGCATTATTTCTGGCTTAGCGAGGTAAGGTAGGAGTTCGTCGGCCGGGGATAGAACCCCGGACCATGTGCATGGTCGGCGAACGTCCTAACCGCTATGCTACCGACGCATTTCTGAATATACTTTATCTTAAATTGATTTTATTCAAATGTCTAATCGTCAATGTTTACTCATGTATATAAATGAAGCAAAAAGGTTGTGTGAGTGACTTGATATGATTATGAATGGCAATAGTTTGTGCTCGAAACGTTGTTATCAGTAAATAATACTGTATAACATAATACAACTTTATCAAAATAACATTTTATTCGTAGTGGAAGCTTTCATCTCCTCTCTCACACACGATCTCCTCCATGCTACCTTTGTAGTTTCCCATTCAGATTTCACTCGAGGATATGGAGCGTGATATGATTCAACAGTATCCTCAGTGTGTGTCCAATCTATCTCCATTTCCTCCAGCATATTTCTTAGGCGGTAGATCCATGGTTAATTCATTACCAGAGTTCCTTGTTACTAATCCTTTCTCACCCTCTGAGCTTCAGGATGGAGTGAAGGCGGCAAAGCCTCAGGATGGTCGGGGGTGGGTGTCTTGCGCTGCGGGTTGGCCACCCCTCCGTACACCTCTTGAAATGCTCCCATATGACCGGGCGTCTTACATAGCCTCTCCTGAGGAAGTCCTACTCACTGCCTTCACGTGGCGGAGGTGTTTTTCACCAAAGTGAGAGGGCAAAAGCGGATGCCCGGCGCTCTTCACCGGGTTGACTGTCCATTGGATGACAGTCTAGGGGAGATGGCTAAACCCCGATTCCAAACTTCCAACGACTGGCGTATGAAGCTCACCGGCAGACGTATGGACAAAGGGCTTATTGGATCCCCTGGATGACTGGCCTCATTCAAAAAGGCGAATGAACCGGACTCCGGTCACCAGCTGCCAATGGATAATGGACTCCCTACTCCACTCCTACTGCCTTGTAGGTCACACTTGGTTGTGTAAAGGCTAGAGCTGCACTCTCAAACAAAAGGCCGAGCGATGCTGGGGACATCGCTCGTACCCAATTCCCATGAAACTTCATGGTTCATGAAGCCGGCTCATCCTCCCGTAGGAGATAGCTGAAGTAAAGTAAGTAAAGAAGGCGGCAAATGTTGATGAAAGTCTACAGTAACCTGTCAGAAATGATTTTCACAATGCCATTTAATGATGACGCTACATACCAAATGATTCACAATAGAAAGATTTGTGAAGTCTTTGAAGTGAAGACAAGAGTAAAAACATAACTGCCCACTATCACTGATCAGGCTCCTGATTGTGGTGGACTGGATTATGAGGAAAGCCAAGGAGAGAGAGAAAAACCAGGTACATATTGGACTGACAAGACCACTCTAGAGGATCTGGACTTCGCAGATGTTTCCTGTCTAATGTGATACAAACTCAGGTGAAAACCAATAATTCGGTAGAAGAGGTAAGCAGCTGGGAAAGTACTTCAGTTGAGTAAAGGGGAGACAGAGGTGATGCAGATACATGTGACTAACAAAAAAACAGCACCAGTCACCAACAAAGGCAGCAGCATTTCAACTAAAGGC